TAAAATATTAAAACTAAAAACACATACATCAACCCATTACTTGCTATACTTCCATATATACCTAAAAAAACAAATTCTGAACGGAAGTTATTAAACAGTGCCTTTAACAGATGCCCTTAGAATCTGTGGCCGTATTTCAACTGGTAATATCTAATACTAAAATAATATATCCGTACTGCTTATCGCTAGAAATATGATCTTGCAAGGAAAATCAGTTAGTGATATGCTGGCAGATCTACGTACTTAATGACATAGAAGCTGGTGAACTCTGTCAAGCACTCATCTAGCAGTGTTGGCATGCAAAATCCGTGGACAGTATTTACTACTGGAATCTCGGAATATCCATCCCATCCGTCAGTCCATCATCTATTCGAACAGAATCAAGTTTTTCCTTGAAACAGCAAATTATGATTTTCTTCCATTTCTTAATTTACTAATAGTTTATTAAAAAGTTCTTGACAAGTTCGAGCTGTCAGCTGACCGAAAATTCACTTGTCTGAACAAACTTCGTCCTGAAAAATCGTGTACAAACACTCGATACCCTAACATTCAAAAACATCAATAACAGAACTTGCAACAAAATGAGAATCTCATAAGCAAAACTGACGATATATGCAAAATATTTAGAATAATAAATAGTTAGAATTCAGAAAATTCGTCTAAAGCTCTAACGCTATTCTTAGCAAAAAGAGCTTACCCTTGAATTATTTTAACTCGAACCCCCATTTCTGAACATATAACCAAACAAGAATTCAATAAATAATAAACCGTGTTATAAATATGGTAAGATCCTGCAAAATTTACATCTACAGATGAGAAAACAAAGACCTTAAAAGACACTACATATAACAGACAAGAAAAGCGACTGTTTGAGAGAACTCTAAGGTCTTTTGTAGAAATCCATTCCAGTGGGGAATAAAAACACATCTGTAGATTAACAGAGTTGTATAGAACGTTTATTTATCACAGAACAGCACCCATTTCAATAAAGGCAGCAATTTAACGAGGCTGAAGTTTCTATTCCAGACAACGAATTTGAATAACTTACTGCTGTCAGTAATATGATTCACTAGCAAAACAATCAATAAGAATGTGATATAAAATAAGCTTTCTTCATGCTACCAGGTAAACAACGGTTGGACTACTGTGAACGACGTTATACATATAACGTTTACCTAACTATGTTACGGGCTGTGCTCAACGGATGCGAGTTGTATTAACATTATGTGTGTATCATGTCATAGCTCGAAGATTTGATATTTTTAGCTGGGCAGGATTAAGAAGAGTTTCAAAATAGTTTCTTTTCGCAAACCTCGCTAACAATGCTTTCCTTGGAAAAAAATCCATCTCCTCTGGCACATCGATCACACTATGTCTTCACGAAAATTCAGTTAAGCCAAACCTCTTCACCTAAGTTTTGCTTCATTATTGGACACGTCCATTCTCTGATTAAAATAAAAACAATAAAATAAATAAACCTAACTAGTACCAACTAGTAACAAAAAAAATTCTCTTCGCCATGTGACTTTATCTATTCTCCAAAAGATTCTCTCAATCGACATGGATAAACATTGTTACTTACAAGAATGAAACTGTTTCGTCTATACTACAATTTTCACCCATTTATGACTGTTTCTGCAGAGTGCTGTCAAAATCTGATTTATTCTTTACACAAATCAGGTACTGCTAGATGAGCTCTGAACATATCACTATGCTTTCATTAATACAGAAAAATTGGATCAGATAATCTGTATTACGCTTAAAGGACCTAACACTGAAAAATATTTTTTACACGAATCGTCATAGATTTCCAAGAATGATCAGAAATGGAAAGCAAAACGTTTAATAAATACAGTCGGCTATACAAAACGTAACCTTAACACTTAGAACAACATTCTGCTGTTCTTTAGAAGCCAGAGCGACTTCCCAGCGAAGTTCAGATCGCTTAAAAAATACTGAAATGATGCGTAAAACCACCATTTTCTAAAAGTTGTTTCCATAAAAGCTCTGAAACAATGTTCAACACTACACAAAGCAAAAAGTTTAGCAAATGAAAATATACACAATTTAACTTTTAAAACATTTCACAGTAATTCACTGTTCTTCTTCAGCAAAGGGTGTGCATCTATACTTCCTCCTGAAGAAGGACACGAAAGTATACTCATCGAAATTTTTACAGGTCATTTTCCAAATGTGTCTTTTAAGCTTGTTGTGTAGTGTTGAACATTATTTTAAATTCTTCAATGAAGTCTCTTCTAAAGTTCGATGTTTAATAAATTATTTTGTTGAAACTAACGCAGGTTTCGCACTAACTGGAACGGTGACGCTGATCTTGAGGGTTGTTCCTAACCCTATCAAGAACGACAGTTGAACTGCATATGTCAGCCGAAGCAACCGAAGCAACTAAATATTCAGAGAAGTCAAAGCGTCAGCCATCCTTAATTTAGTTACTCTGTTCTCGACCCTAATACTCCAGATGATGAGAACAACAACAATAAAAAGCATTTGGCTTCGACGTATACAAATAGTAAAATGCCAGGACCAGGTATGGAATTACTCCATTTTTTCAGGCGCAGCTAACTTCTGTAGATATGCATATTAAGAAGATTGGTCTAAACTGGTTGAGCATACACCATTTACTCAAGCACCTCTACCGTGCGAGCCGAAATGACCAGGTGGCCAGTGTGTAACATTAAGGAACAAAACAGAGGTAGATCTACTTTCGGAGAAGAACATTTCTTTCTACCGTGCACAAAGTGATAACAAGTGTTAAAGCTACAGATATAACGGAAATCACAAACCAGAGACGTTCAGGTTATGCAAACGGTTCAAGATGATAATCTCAATAAACACACAAAACAAACTTCATCTTTCTGATCTGCCTCAAATAACAGATAAAATTCTATGCTCTGGATCGCGTGACAGGGCGAAGAACGGAAAATTTAAACTAAAAGGCGACATTTTTAAAAAGCCACTAACGAAATCGCATCATAAAACTTAAGACGGTCAATTAAGAAGGCGTCAGAAGATCTGCGGCCGACAAAGCAGCCTCTTACTGCCTCCTATATCATATTCAGGACTAAAGACAAAATCCTGCATTTCGACTGTTTCAAAGTATGCGCTGACTTTGGTCCTGATGGCTCAAATAAACAAAGGTTTGGTAACCGCAGAATGGTAAAGACAATCTGTCAACTCTCATTTACTGAAAATACAAATGTGTAGGAGTAACTAAACACGGATAACAACAGAAAGGCTGAAAACTACTGTCGATATTTGTTTCTGAAGGAGACCACGCGTGCAACGCACCATGCCACTGCTTAACATTTAGACAGAAGAAAGCGGTGCTAAAATGACCAGGCATCTCCTTCCTCAATTTAGCAAGTAACATATCGTATGAAATCAGTGGTTACAACAAGATTTGTAAATGTCAACATCTGCGTCGCAAAATCCAGTTGGGTGCCAATAAAATATCATGCCTTGAAGCAAAAAGCTTGGTTAGCCGTATGCGAGTGCCTCTGTAAACTCTGCCTTGAGAGCTTATTTTGAAAATCATTATATCATTAAAAACAGATGAAAAATAAATATCTCTTGAAGAGCAAGACCAACATGATACCTCGAGTTTATTCCAATTTTCTTCATGATATGATACGGCATTATTGTCTGATCTTCCAAAAACAATGTGTAATGTGGCGAAAAAAAACTAAACCGCGACATAATATCATACAGTTGTTTGCTGACACTAAGGCGAAGCTGCCAAAACTAATCTACCGATGTTCTTTCGGCCACAGGATATCGAATTCCAGTACGACTCAAGAATACTTTCACAAATAAAATGGAAGCTATACGTATTCAGTGATGGGGACAAGTAACAGGAAAAGTGAAGTCCGCCGCTGCATCATAGTTTCCTGTCTGACAGAATGTTAATTTCATCACACATTGGACAAAATCTCAAAGAAATCTAATCCTAACCCCGTTGCACTACACCGTAAGTGTGCGAAGGATGTGCGAATAGAAATGGTGCAGGAGAACTCAGGAATGTCACCGCTCTGGACTTCCACTCGTTCCTCGAACCAGAGCATACCCCAGAACCACTATTACTGGTGATATGATATGCAACACAACAAAACCATTCTTAAAAACCATACAATCTGCTATCTCACCATCTGTACATATGGACGACCCGCTACGGAAAGAATAGTAATATTTCGTAAAAAACAAGAACGGGAGGGGACAGGTCTTACATTAAAAATTTTCTTCACCTCAAGAGTTACGGTATTTCAGCAATAGCGGATGTGCAGAGTCGTATCTAGGTAAAAAAGCTAATCGAAAATAAATGATAAGATTCAAAACTGTACAATGACAGTTAAGATCAAAGAAGCTTTGAAATTTTCAAATACCCTAGTCGAGTTGTTTCCGGTATTCACTGCCGTCTTGCACAAGGTAAGGACGAAGAAACGGGGGACACAAGCGTCGTTATAAAAGCGGCGCTTACTTGCGAAATTGCTTGCTCAATTAAGCAGCCGGTTTCGTATGCGACAAGGAGGCAAGGTAGGCAGCATGAGGAGAAGCAGAAGCGAAACGAGGTACAAAACAGGCGTTTAACCTTTACCGACAGATCGCTTCGCGTTTCTTCCGCGAATCTTCCACATCCAGCATGCGAAACAGGTGTTCCTCGTTCTCACGGCCGAAAATTCCGCCCGGCAGTTTGCTAAGAAATTTCTAAAACAACAATCGAACCGTGAAGGACAAGTCGCAAATGGCTGGTCGAACTTTGATAACAGAAGCAGCGGTATAAACGGAAAAATTATCAACATTCACCAAGTGGCCGTGCTGCATTCCGTGAATGAGCTTGCGGACGTGGGCCTGGTTGCCCGGTGCTCGCCATATGTCCTTTTTCAACGGACCGAGTTTGTTTACACTCAGCAACAATACCTGCAACAACGCATAAACCTGATCACTAGCAAGCGACAGAAAGCGATGGTTGCCACCGCCGTAACACGCGACACATGACAATCATGCACTTACCAAAAGAGTTGCTGGAATGTCGTGCAACAACGCCTCAGTGACCGGTACTCCGAATTTTACCCTTCAACAACAGATGTTTATTGCCACACTGATCTGCAAACGTTTCGTTTAACAACAAACAATGTGCTTACTTTTCGATGCTACGGACGAAGCCTGAACGACGGTCGTCTGCGTTAAAGCACTGCACCATCAAAGTGGAATTTTTCATCGGCACTTCGTCGACCGTCATGCAGTCGCGCAACCCTGGCTGCCCCAAACACAGTGCCGTCACATTTACATCAGACCCAAGCACTAATGCTTTCCTCCTAACATTACCTCATTTGAAACAGCTTCACATTATCGGTCTAACGGTAAACACGTATAACACATCGAGTCGATCATGTTTACCTGAGCGTCATTTACTGATTAATTTAAATACCAATGCAATGCACTACGTAAATGCCTATCGGTCGTCTTCCAAGCAGTCATCAAAACTGCCGTTCAAAGTTAGTTGCCACACATATATGCTCGTTGCTCCTTTGTGAAGATTAGCGGATGTATATTAATTTTACTGCTTTTGCTGCTTGCATTACAAGCACGATAGCAGTATTCAACCAAAGAACGTTTTTAATTTTTAATTTCATAACACGCAAAGGTGTTAGAAAGGAGATGCCGTGAAATAGTTGACGTCAAGATTCAAGAAGAGCAGTGTGGCT